GAAGAAAGGGGCTGGGGGCCTCCTAGCTGTCCACCTAGTTGGATGGAGACCTCCCTGCCACACCCCCTGGAGCAGCTGCTGACACCCCCATCCTCCCTTTGTCACCCCCAGGTTACACCCGGGGCAACATCGCCTGGCTGGCCCTGGCCCTGGCCCTGACCCTGACCCTGGCCGAGGCTGCCCACGGCTGGAGGAGGGGCAGATGCTAGGTGAGGTGACTCCCCTCAAGAGTCCCTCCTGCTACACCCTGGCTGCCCCAGTGTGGGGGAAGGGCAGTGGGTTCACCGTCACCCCGAGCGACATGACCCTGCTTTGTCAAAACGGAGCCGGAAGGACCAGTGCAGCCGAACCCCTCTGAACTGGCCCTGCTGACTGGCCCCCAGGGGTCTGGAGGGGCCCAGCTCAGCGTGGGGCTGGGGGAGGAGTTGTTCCAGGGCCTCCATCTGGGGGTGACAGAAATGGCCAACAGCAGTGGGATGGGGAGCCTGTGCCATGGGGCGCCCCAGGGGAGAGCTCCAGGCCCTACAAGGCAGCTGGGGCCGTGGGAACACGGGGCGCACAAGGGGAGAGTTGCTGTTTAATAAATTGCACGTGTTCTGAACTCTGTGTAATGATCCGTGGGTCAGGGAAGCAGCCAGTGCAAAGAGAGTGCCCCGGAGTGGGGACACCCTCGCCCCTGTCCTAAGTGACCACAACAAGACTGGGGGTCGAGCCCCCAGGGATCCGGGGCCCAGCCTTGCCGGAGTTATGAGGACTCTGCCGCACGGGAGGGAGGAAGGGGAGCCCTCGAGGTCAGGCAGGCCTCTGGGTAAGGGGAGTGGGAGCGAGGACTCAGATCCTTTCGCTAGCCAATCCCACCGGGGCGTGTATAAGCAGGAAAGTTCCCCACAATAGCGGGATCATTTCCCTGCTTACACTAGGAGCGGGGTCAGCAGCCGCCCTGCCCGTCCGTCCGGAGAGTGAAATGAACCGGTTCCTCCCCCCAAAAGCCCGGCTGTTCTGGAAACAAGCGGCTCTGCTCCGGTGACTCCTGAAGGAGCGAGACTTGGAGCCGGTCTGACTCCAGCTGTTGGCCGCGGTCGCTCAGCCCCCGTTTCAATAGACAGGCCGGGTTTGATTCCTTGTCCGTGGGGTTAACCCGAAAGCTTTGCCTTTGAACGGCTGCTGCTGGGGGTTTGCCCAGGAGCCGAGTAGAACCAGGGGCTCGGTTTGAAACGAGCCCCGGCTCCCGGCCTGTGTAACGCTGGTGAGGGAGAGAGTTTCCAAACCCCTTGAACCCTCTGGGCCTGTGAGACCCTCTGCAAAGAGCAGCAGGGAACGGGAGTTTGGGGCGACAGGCTGAGCGTGGGCCAGGGGTGGGATTAGAGGGGAGACGGGCTGAGATCAGGGATGGAGTGGGGACAGGAATTTGAAGGGAGACACAAAGGGGGCGGCTGGGTGGGTGCTGGCAATGGGATGGGTGTTTGAGGAGAAATAGGAGAGAGGGAAAGGGAATGGGGGCGAGCGGGATGGGGGATGGGGATGGGCTCCCCCTCACAGAATTGGGGTCGGCGGATGGGGGTGTGTGTGGAGGGATTTGTTTTCCGGCTAAATCTCCAGCTGGGCTGGGGCACCTCTGGCTGCCGGGGGGAGGGGGGGGAAGGTGGAGGGGGCAGGAGTTGCGAGCCATGGCCATGGGGAAGATTCACCATGAAATGCTCACAAGGGGAGAAACCAGGCATCCCCCAACCGGGCAGCTTCCATTGTCCACCTAGGGTGACCAGATGTCCTGATTTTATAGGGACAGTCCCGATTTTTGGGTCTTTTTCTTATATAGGCTCCTATTACCCCCCAGCCCCCGTCCTGATTTTTCACACTTGCTGTCTGGTCACCCTATGACCACCACTGCCCTGCCCCCCTCAGCCCCCACCCCCCAATGTTCCCCCACATTCTCCCACCCCTGTATTCCCCTGCCCCCTACTGCCCCTCCTAGCCCAGGTAGGCGCCATTTCCTTGAGGGCAGCCTGGTGCCACACCCACTGTGGACACTGGGAGCTGGCGGCCATCTTAACTGAGGGTGGGGGATGGGCATTTGAGGGGAAATGGGGCAGGGGACAGGGGAGTGAGGAGGGATGGGCCATGGAGGGGGCAGGGTGTGAGGAGGGCAGGCTCGGGGGGATTCGAAGGGGGATAGGGCAGGGGGCAGGATGGGAGACTGGGGAGGCAGGCTGGGGTGGGGGGTGTTAGTTGTGGGTGACAGGCTGGGGAGTGACTCTGCTAGGCAGCGATTCTGCTGCTCGTCCCCCTCCTGCTCCATAGGGCTGAGAGCAGCTATGGGG